GAGAGAGAGAGAGAGAGAGAGAGATTAGAGTCTCTTGGGGGAACCAGAGATCCCAGTGGCCCTCATTATCTGCCTATTTGGTGTCACTTGTGGTCAAGCATAAATATGTATTGAAAGATCAATGTTTGTGAGTGTGTGGATGCGGGTGTGTGTTTGCTCAGTCCCAACATGGGCCTGTATGCTCATTGAGACACAGGCCAGACTCTGTTTACTTCAAAGAGACCCTTGTTCACAGCCAAGAATTATGTGTACTAGTGTCATATTCATTTACAAAAACCCATTACAGTCTAAATACTCTCTCAAGCCACAAACAACAAGAGCCACAGATCCATACTACAAATTACGTTATTCCTTCATGATGAACATTACTTTGAATTGCTTAGTGCACAAATCGTATTAAGGTGCATATGTTTTCACTCAGGATCAAAGACATTTCTTTCATATGGGTGCACGCTTTCAAAAATCACACATTTATAAAACCCCTCATTTCATTTCAGCATTAGTTGCATCTCTTTCACTCTGTAAATGGCTGCATCTCGGCTTTTTGCATAAAATAACTTGCTCAGTTGAGAGCCTAACCAACCATATTTCCCTTGGGAGAGAAAACAGAGAGGAGGCTTTCTTGGGCCCTCTGCAAAATCTTCTGGGAGCTGGAGGGAGTGTCTGGTCATCAAAAAGGGGCGTGGTTGCATCCAACCATCAAAAAATCTCCAATCCCCTGGGCCCAGGCCTCCCGTCCAATTCATTCGCAGGAGCTGTCAGTCAAATGAATCGCCTCACTTTCAGACACTGAAGTGCAGCATTTCTGTTCCCAATTAAATGATGGACTCTCTCCTCAAGTACAACATATACATAAATGCAGCTGGTCCACAAAAGGGTCATTCATTAGTCTACTCTTCCCACCCTCTGGGATTTTAGAGTTGTCGAACTTCATAGCCCTGGGCTATATTTGAGGAGGTGATCGAATTTGAGGTTTTTGCATTTTTTATCTGCTGATACAGAAGCAACTTACAGAAGAACAAAATCTATCGAGATGGAAAATAAAAACATTTGATGATGTTTTTATGGATAATTGATTAAAAAGTACCTGCTCCATATGACGAAGTCTCAGGCCGAGAAATGTAAAGTTGCCCTGTGATTTGTCAGTGACTATTTCTGCAGTAGGTGGTGACACATGACATTTTGTATATCACGAGTGAATTAATGATTCATTCACTGAACTGATTCATTCAAAATACTGATTCATTTAAATATAAAATAAGTATCTTAATGAAAGAGGCTTTGAATCTGCACGCTTTCAAAAATCACACATTTATAAAACCCCTCATTTCATTTCAGCATTAGTTGCATCTCTTTCACTCTGTAAATGGCTGCATCTCGGATTTTTGCATAAAATAACTTGCTCAGTTGAGAGCCTAACCAACCATATTTCCCTTGGGAGAGAAAACAGAGAGGAGGCTTTCTTGGGCCCCCTGCAAAATCTTCTGGGAGCTGGAGGGAGTGTCTGGTCATCAAAAAGGGGCGTGGTTGCATCCAACCATCAAAAAATCTCCAATCCCCTGGGCCCAGGCCTCCCGTCCAATTCATTCGCAGGAGCTGTCAGTCAAATGAATCGCCTCACTTTCAGACACTGAAGTGCAGCATTTCTGTTCCCAATTAAATGATGGACTCTCTCCTCAAGTACAACATATACATAAATGCAGCTGGTCCACAAAAGGGTCATTCATTAGTCTACTCTTCCCACCCTCTGGGATTTTAGAGTTGTCGAACTTCATAGCCCTGGGCTATATTTGATGAGGTGATCGAATTTGAGGTTTTTGCATTTTTTATCTGCTGATACAGAAGCAACTTACAGAAGAACAAAATCTATCGAGATGGAAAATAAAAACATTTGATGATATTTTTATGGATAATTGATTAAAAAGTACCTGCTCCATATGACGAAGTCTCAGGCCGAGAAATGTAAAGTTGCCCTGGGATTTGTCAGTGACTATTTCTGCAGTAGGTGGTGACACATGATATTTTGTATATCACGAGTGAATTAATGATTCATTCACTGAACTGATTCATTCAAAATACTGATTCATTTAAATATAAAATAAGTATCTTAATGAAAGAGGCTTTGAATCGTTCAATCAACCAATTTGTTCAAAAACGCTAATGCATTCAAGAATAAATAATGAATGACTCACTGAATCATTCAACATATCAACCGATTTGTTCAAAAACACTGATTAATTCCAAAATGAAACAAGTGACTATACAGTATATGAGGGTGTCACTGAATCCCTCAATTAACTAATTCATCCAAAAACACTGAGTCTAAAAAATAGATGTTTTAAATAAAGTTGTTTATGAGTTATTTAAGAGTGTGTCATTGAATCATTCAATAAGCCGATTTGTTCAAAAATACTGATTCATTGAGGAATGAAACAAGTGTCTTTATGAGAGATTTAAGGAATCATTCAATCAAACAATTTGTTCAAAAACACTGATTTACTGAGGAATGAAACTAGTATATTCAGAAGTGATTCATTAAATAATTTAATCAACTGATTTGTTCAAAAATTAATTCAGAAATGAAACATCACTACTGGGTGTTGCTCAGAAAGATTCAAGGATTGATTTTTCATTTAGAATTATTTTCATTGGTGGAGCAAAAAAAAAGTCACTGGCAATATTTTGGCTAAAATGTAAGTTACGCAATATTAACAGTAATCTTCCAGAGCACCCAAACAACTACATGAATATGTGCTAAAATGACTCCTCATTTTATATGCAGTAGGACATTTTGTCTGATTTATACATGTCAAACATCAAAACTCAAGACAGACAAGAATTGTTTCACGCTATACAGTATATGAGGGTGTCACTGAATCCCTCAATTAACTAATTCATCCAAAAACACTGAGTCTAAAAAATAGATGTTTTAAATAAAGTTGTTTATGAGTTATTTAAGAGTGTGTCATTGAATCATTCAATAAGCCGATTTGTTAAAAAATACTGATTCATTGAGGAATGAAACAAGTGTCTTTATGAGAGATTTAATGAATCATTCAATCAAACAATTTGTTCAAAAACACTGATTTACTGAGGAATGAAACTAGTATCTTCAGAAGTGATTCATTAAATAATTTAATCAACTGATTTGTTCAAAAATTAATTCAGAAATGAAACATCACTACTGGGTGTTGCTCAGAAAGATTCAAGGATTGATTTTTCATTTAGAATTATTTTCATTGGTGGAGCAAAAAAAAAAGTCACTGGCAATATTTTGGCTAAAATGTAAGTTACGCAATATTAACAGCAATCTTCCAGAGCACCCAAACAACTACATGAATATGTGCTAAAATGACTCCTCATTTTATATGCAGTAGGACATTTTGTCTGATTTATACATGTCAAACATCAAAACTCAAGACAGACAAGAATTGTTTCACGTATATGTTACTCATGTGGATTACTTTGTGTAGGCTTGTAAGTTGAGCTTTCATTAGCAATAGAGATCTCACTGGAGACTGAGGGATTGTCAATCACAATGATCTCTGCTGTGAGAAACACACATTGTCTTTGCTCTCTCACCAAGACATGCACACATAACAGAGCTGCTTATTAGAGCAGATAGGGGGATCAGGGAGGTCGTCGGGTCAAGAGATCACAGGTCACCGTGTCTGATTTCCCTGTGCACTGTCATGGGTTGGAGGGGGTGTGGTTTGCGATAAACCTGCCTCTGGCACTAAGACTGAGAATCTCTCCTAGCAAAGCATGATTGACACCCCTGCTGCCACCAGCCTAGCGTGCAGCCCTGAATGTCAGTGGAGACCATGTCAACTAGACAAACCCTAGAGACAGATTCCCTGTGAAGACCTTGTTGGCCATCAGGCACAAGACCACGAGAACCAGACGAGTCCTCTGCTCAATCTGACCTGTGTTGCAGCCTGAAATTAAACCACACCATGCTGGTTCCATCTTGCCAGAGGAGAACTGGCCCCCCAACTGAACCTGGTTTCTCCTAAGGTTTTTTTTCTCCATTTCTGTCACCGATGGAGTTTTGGTTCCTTGCCACTGTCACCTTTTGCTTGCTTATTTGGGGACACAATTTCTGGCAACATTGTTGACTTGACTGCACAGACAATATTAGAAGAGAACTGAACTGAGCTGGATGATGACATTACTGAATCAACAATGAATCAACTTTAACTGTCTGTTTTCTATATTATCCTCTTGTATTATCAGCACACATTTGTCCCGTTTAACACTGTAAAGCTGCTTTGACAATCTGTATTGTATAAAGCACTATATAAATTAAAGCGACTTGACTTGATTAATAATAATAATAGTAGTGCTTTACCTGATTCCCAAAGAATAATGTTATTGCTCAAATTCATTCACTTTCATACTGCATGCATCAAGACGATGATTGTCTCACAACGTATTTTAAAATTGCTTTAAAATTACCTTAAAAATAGAATAGTAAAATGAACACAAATTAAACAAACTGACATCACAATAACAGTATATGAAGTTATAAAAGCTTTACAAAAAAAAGTAGATCATTTTGTCTTTGAAAAATTTGTTGTGAAATATTTCATTTCTCAGACTTTGGTTTTGTGACAAAAGTGAACACAGTTTGAAACATTGTTGAGATCTCTTTTGGAGCTCCAGAGGTAGGCTACATTTGAGACTTTTACTCAAATCAAGTCTCCATTTGCTTGCAACTCTCAATTTTATCTCATTGCTGTCTAAGAGAAGCAGCTGTGATATTACAGAGATCTTGTGTGATTTTTATATCCTGTCGGTTGGTACTGGAGCGCTGACATCCTTATTAACGATATCATACTGCCTCATACGATCTCTCAAGCTCTCTTTGCACAGATAATATAGCTTCTCTCTCCTCTCTCTTAACTAAAGCGCTTGTACATTAGCAGAAAACTCAGTGTCTCTGGGTTTATCTCTTAGTTCATCTCTTTTATCTGAGTAAAAAGCAGGCTTTCATCTACCTTTTTCAAGTGTGCGTCTGTCCCCACCCAGCCTCTCTGCTCAACCAACAGAAACCTGCACACATGTGCACGGATGTGCGTGAGCACCAGAGTGCCTTTAAGTGCCTCTCCTGCCATAAATCCCCTGGTTGCCAGGCAACAGGCCCCTTGCTCTTGTCAGAGAGGCTGAATAAGCATGTCTCTCTCTCTCTGTGTGTGTGTGCGTGTGTGTGTGTGTGTTTATGGGGCTTCCCAACCTTTTATACACTGCAAGCAAATACTTAAACCGCAAACGAATGGTGAATCAGCCAGTGCTAGGATTGTTGTGTCAGCTAATCACTCATGACAGCCCAGCTGTATATTGATGATTGTTAGGAAAATGTGTTTTGATGGTATTTTGAATTGCTGGGGTGTTCTGTGAGGTTGCTAGGTAGTTAGTTATTGGACCAAGTCAAAAATAACTCAAAAACTCATGATCCCTATAGATGACTTCTCTTATAAAACAGCTATTTTTTCAGTGTAAACTCTAAAAATAGAAAAACCCCAAATTTAAGTTTAATACAAAAAAATTTATAATAATAATTGGTACTCTCTATATGCACACACACACACACATTTAATTTAATAAGTGTAAATGTCCAAATAGTTCAGTTATTATGTATATAATATAATATAATATGTGCTGTCTGATAAATTTTATGCATTAAAACCGTTTGCACCGGTAGTTCCAAGTCATTATGTGCTATATAGTAAGCAATTATATAATTTTATAAAAATTAGCCTCGTTTGTGCGTACTTAGTATAATTATCACTGATAATTAATAGTAATTGGAGAAAAAAATTTTCTCACGACAAATGTTCATTTTGAATCAGATTTGCGGTGGGAGACGTGAACTCAGTAAAGTCTCCTGGACGACTCACCGATTGAGTCTAATAATTCAAACCATTAACTCATGAGCGAGGCAGTTTCGTGAATCTTTTCGACCGACATAATCACTCACTGGCAGTGTTAAAGTAGGATTACTTTTAGGATTTTTACTTCTAGGATTACTGTCAGATTACTTTTTTCAAGTAGTTTATGGAGTAACGCAATATTGTAATGCATTACTTTTTAAAAGTAACTTTCCCCAACACTGCTCACTGGTTCATAGGAGTCATTTTTTTCGCGAAGCGTAAAGAGCCATTTGTTGAAATAGCTTTAACGGCATCGACCTTAGCAAACACTGCTAATAAATCAAACAATTCGAGTTACAGTTCACGTTTGTGTTGTTTTAAAGGCTACTTGACTCTACAATAATACTCTATCGACGTTCCTCTCACGCCTCATATGGCTCCAGAGAAAGAAACATGAACTGCAGTAAACTATTGTCTAGCTTGACACTTGCCGTCTTCACAGCGCAGCGCAGGGACTGACAGACACTAGATCATGATCCGTCTATGAGCTTTGATCTCATGGTCTGTCTCTCAAACACACAGACGTCCACACAGGTGTGTTGCCTCGAGGTAAGGGAATATATGTGGGAGGGAAGGTCAGAGAGTTTTTGGGCTGTCTGTCTCTCTCTCCAGGGCAGCCGAAATCTCCCGTATTCTGTTTTACCTTGCTTTCTGGGATCTGACGATGTGACTTTTAAGAAAGTGTTACATTTGCGTGTAACTTTTTGTGCATTTCTAATTGAGCGTCTAGCCTATGGGTTTTGCCCTGTGGACTTAACACTCCATCAAACACTTTTAACACTTTTAATTAGTCTATTACATTAATTGTACAATAGTGGACATAAATACATGCATCACAGGGAAATTCTGTCATTTTTTTCTTTACATTTCCCCCACATTATTATGGTTGATAGCATAGTTTGATGCAAATAACAGCAACAAACATTTCTCGAATGAAAGGGCTGACTACTTTGTCTTGTTCGGTTAATTTCATTGCTAGCATTTCTGTGCTCTAAATACAAAGTTTGATTAGAAATGACACAAAATAAAAAATGTTTGGTTCTCAAGTGATATTTACACCACTGTTCAAAAGGCAGATTCTGTTCGTTTGAAAGAAACTAATACTTTTATTCAGACATTTATAATAATAATATATTTGTGATAATATTACTGTATTTAATCAAATAAATGCAGTCTTGGTGGACATAAGAGACTCTTTCAAAACCATCTTACTGGCCCCAAACATTCGAATGGTAGTGTTCATTCATTTTTCTTTACACATCACGTCTCATATTTTATCTCAGGCTTTTAACACTGTTGACACTATTGTCACCCTCAAGTACACTAAAACAATAATATATTTATAAAACTTTATTAGGGGCCAAAAATGTTGGATGCGGTGGAAGTGACGCCACAACTGAGAATATGTATATAAAAATTTAAAAAAGTTTCCAAGACATTTATAATGTGGCGATTATTAAATCAAAAGAACAAATACATTTATTTTTATTTTTATGAACCCCTAGTGACTAATGTTGAATAAAACACATACATAGCTCAGGATCTTTTGTGTCTTTGGGTCCTGTACTTTCCAGGCTCATGTAAGTCCATTGTATAGACATGTTTTCCTGCCCCCTGTCCAAACTGGGCAAATCCATCCCCCTCTCTTTCTATCTGAAGAGGGGGATGAGTGTGTTTTTTTGTGGAGGCGGTGAGGGCTGCTCAGCACAAAGCACTCTGGCAACACTTCAAACTACAGCCGCTGTTTGGCAAGGCCTCAGTGAAATTCCTCTCCCAACAGAAAAAAGAGGTGAAGAGGCAGAAAATGGAGACGTTCATAAAACTTCCAGAGCACAAGTTAAAATGCTGATGCATTACAGCTCATTTAATGGTAAACCAATCAATGTTGTACGGATATAGATTCAAGCAAACAAAAAATATGCGAAGAACCTTAAAGATAACCTCAGATATAAAATGTACACTTTCCTGTAAACATGTAATCTATAAAATGGTAACTCTATAAGGGGCAAAAGACATGTAACTTCAACAAATCACTTAAAAAGCACATCAAACATGAGATTAATGCATCATATCAGAACTGCTGCTGTTTTAAGTTAATTAAATCCTACTGACTTGAATCAGCCAAGCTCAAGACATCCGTTAAGATAAACACGCTCTCTCTGATCCAAGGCTCATATGGACCCGATTTAGAAAAAAAGGGGGTAGCTAACAAACCCATATGCATGCACAAGTGCAGATTTCATCGCCTGCCCTCGTCCCCACACATTCAGATAAGAGAACAGAAATCATCTCCACCCCTCCAGGGCTGATTTACCGATAATGAATTTTCAACTTTGATTTCACAAAGACATAAAGATGTTATTGGCCCCCAGAAAAGTGGATATGACTGGCAGGCAGCAGAAAATGGAAACTCTGACCCAGTTAAACGCAATAAAGTTTATAGGCATCTTATAACTGCACATAGTAATATATTGTACGTAATAGATTGAATTTTATGGACTAAAAAAAGGATTTACTCATCCTCAACCTCAGGCCATTCAAGATGTAGAGTTGGTGGTTTCTTTATTGGAAAAAATTTGGAGAAATCTAGCATTACATCACTTGTTCACCAATGGATCCGCTGCAGTTAATGGGTGCCGTCAGAATGAGAGTCCAAACCGATAAAACATCACAATAATCCACAGGACTATAGTCCATCAATTAATATCTTGTAAAGTGAAAAGCTGCATGTTTGTAAGAAACTAAATTCTAGGGTTTTAATTTTAAACCTTGGCTTCTGGCCAAAATACTACTTCATAGTTTATAATAACGTTCTTCCAGTTAAAAAGTCCATGCCGTGGTACTTGATCTGTGCAGATTTCTCTCCTGATTCAGACAAGATGAGTTTTCCCACTAGAGAAAGCAAGATTATGGATAGGGAACTCATATTTTACCCAGAAGCAAGTTTGGTTAAAAACATCTTTATGATTGATTTGTTTCCTACAAACACAACATTTCTCTTCACAGGATGTTAATGACTGGAGTCGTGTGGATTACTGTGATGATTTTATCAGCTGTTTGGACTCTCATTCTGACGGCACCCATTCACTGCAGAGCAAGTGATGTAAATTTCTACAAATCTGTACCAATGAAGAAACAAACTCATCTACATCTTGGATGGCCTGAAGGGGAGCCAATTTTCATTTTAGGAAGAACCATTCCTTTAAGGTAATAACAGAGAAACGGTGTCACAAACACAAGTGGAATAAAAGTATTTTATTGATTAGCCATGTCATTATCCATGTTCCCAAAAGAAGCGGTACAGGCTAACAAACAATGACGTTGCTTCAATAGAGACTACCTCCAGATAGCATAGAAAAGATTTCTGTCTCTGTGTATACCTCATAAACCCCATCTACCCCCACCCACCCTTGCTGCATCCACACCCTTTTTGGAATAGTGACATTGAAAACTGCTTCTCCTAGCTTAACTTTAAGCATTTTGTAAGAATGCATATAATTTTTTGTACTCCCAACAACCACCATTTTAAATGATCATATAAAAAGCTACACATTGTTACACTTTCAGTCAGATTACATAGGAACCGAGATTAGTGTTGTACACTAGCACATGATAAAGATCCAGAAACCAATGAGGCAAGTCCACTACAACTTAACACTACAGAACACACACAAAAAAAAAAAAAAAAAAAAAAAAAAAAAAAAGGAACAAAAATATATGGAATACAAAAGTTTTAAAACCAAGCTAGGGTCAGTACCATGAAAATGCTGATTTAAGGAAAAGGAAACAAAATAATAAAAAAGTTAAAATAGTTCCATCTTAAAAGATCCTTTTCATGTGCACTCATCAGCATCTGCGTCACAATCCCGCCATACTTGCATTTTTTCCATCCAGGGCAAAAACAAAAAAAAAAGGGTTGTAGCAATAAAGGAGACTGATATCCACCATTTCTCTGTTAGACTCCCTTTCATCTGCGACAAGTGTGTGTTGTGTGTCAGGCACTTTCTGAAACACTAGCCCACCCTCTGGGAAACCTTCCACGACTCTTCAAATCACAATTGCAGATTCATTCAACATACAGCTGTGGAGACACAGAAGTACATTGTTCATTTTGAAACTTAAGCAGAATGCAGTGAACAAGTTTTTTTAAACTCATCTTACCTTCAATACTTGTAGACCGTGAG